AACCGTGTTGGAGTAGTTTGAGTTCATATTTCTTCTGGTCTGTTGTCCCCTGACACTGTAACTCCCTGAAATGAAGGAGACGATAAGTGCAGTGGAGCTGCCACATTGCTCAAACGTTATCAGGTACTTTCTTGCAAATCAGAGACCCCGATTGGCTTCCACGGAGGAAAGCTCATGAGCTGACTAGCTGAACGGTGGCAGCCGCTTCCAACCACTCGGTGGTGATGACCATCAGTCAAGATTTGATGGGATTTATCTACCAGAGCCTGATTGGCCCACCGTTCATGGGTTCACGGCACCTCTCCACTTCCGTAGCCAAGCTGTACGACAGCCTGTCGAGCAGTCCCTTTCTTTGATCGTTGCCTATTTCTGAATAAAAACGAGAGGATGGTTTTTAGGATGATTTCTGACATTCGATCTAACTTTTGAGATCGCCAAACTCGTACGTTTTCGGTTACTTTAACAAACGTACTTTTAGCAGCGGATGCGGTATGTAAAAGTGTGTGACTTGATGTGTCATTTGCAGTAAAATAGAAGACGGCTGTGCAGCGAGAAAATTTGCATGAGCCGTTCGAACATTTGTCTGCCTGATCAGTGTAGGCAACAGCATCTGCGTGTAAACGCCTCTTTATAAAGATTCCATGTTTGCCTCCACAATCCAGAAGCTTTGAGACTTGTTTTTTCGGAAACAGACAGGCTTTTCATTGTTAATCCAGTTTTTCTGTAATTGTTTTGTTTTATTTCCGTTTTCTGTATAATGATATATTACAGAATGGCGCTTTCTTTTGTCTTAGGACTGAAGAAAATGAATCGTCGTTAAATCTGATTTGCTTTAGCTTTTGCTGGCACCAGCAAGCCACCGGATTGGACGAAACCGGTTTACGAGCTGTCGGACGGCTTCAAAAACGAGCCGTTCATCGTCTGGATGAGAACTGCAGCGCTGCCAAATTTCCGCAAGTTGCAAAGTCGTGTCCTCCATGATAATCGGCCGTTCAGCGAAGGCCTCCCTCGCGGAAACTACACCGTCGATATAACTTACAGTATGCACTAATATTCTCATGTAATAACGCTGAACGCTGTTGTTGCTTGTTCCCTAAGTGGTAGGGTGTTGTGACTGTTTGCAAGTGCCAACGGAAGAAACTCTTACTTCCTTTTACTACAGTTTATCCCTGACAATTTCCTCCGTAGTCCATAGATTTAATTACCTACGCTAACGTAATACAGAAAGCAAATTCCTCCACAGGTGAAAATCCTATCCAAACTCAACTCAGTAGATTTTCAACTACTCTGCAAGTCCAGGTGCTCCAATAAAACTATTTTTTATATGCGTTCTTGCCGACTTTCCTCAAAGCCTGGAGGTATAAGTGTATTTTTCAGAACTGATGATGAACAGTCCTCCATATGCGACGTGTTGTAGAATGGTTATGTTTTAAACGTGATTCAAGTCATGTTTTATCCATGAAAATATGATCAAGAACCAAATTATACCCAGCCTTTTGGTCTAGATTAGGTCAGCTGTGTGCCATATAAAGAAACGGAAATAAAATTTGTAACTACTTGATGCCGGTTTTTCGCTGCCAATGTATCATTCGTGGC